TAACAACCTGTGGGTACAAAAGGTGACCTTGAGCGTGACTCACAGTACGTGAGAGCTGGCCCAGCCACACAGAGCCCCAGGGGTAGCGGACTTTGCCTCAGGCATTGCTCCTGCCCTGCTACCACAGCACAGCCTGGACCCTCCATTCCAAGGAGCCCTGGGCTCTCCTGCCCTGCTCCTCCTTCCCGCTGCTCTTCACCATCAAGAGCCAGCCCAGAACTCTGCCTTCACGTTAATTCTACTTACATCCTGTTTGCAGCATCCCACCATGCTCCACCTGCTGCCAGGGACAGGCACCTGCAGGGGAGCAGAATTTCCCCTGTCCTGCTGATGCGACCTTGGGGAGCAAGGTCCAGGGGGATGGGGCCACCCTGCAGCACAGAACAGGGACAGAGGCTGCACTGGCTGCGGAAAAAACACCCCCAAAAGCTAGGAAAAAACAGGATTTAGTGGCTCAAGAGCTGAGTGAGGAAGAAAGCCCAGTGCAGGGAGAACAGCTGGCTGAAATGGCTGCGAGGAAGACAGGGGTTGAGGGATGGCAGAAGCACAAAGTGGGCGCACGGTGCAGTTGTGTCTGGCACGCAGGAAAGGGTCAACTATTCCTCCGCCGGAGCTGGAAGTGATGCTGGGCAGAAATTCGTCTCTATCGCTGCAGGCTCTCCAGAACTCTGCGGCCGAAGTCCCAACAACAGGGGAGCAGGCAGCAGCACCTAACATGGGGGGACGGACAGACTTGCTCCACCAGCGACTCCCATCCAACAGAGCCACCCTCACCGCCAGCTGTGTCCCTCGCTGGCGACCCCCAGTCACGCACTGCCTGGCAGGAACACACACTACAGCTGGACAGAGAGAGAGACAGCATCTACGTTCCCGGACAAACAAACATGATATATGGAGAGCAGGTTGTAAGTAAGGGGGTTTTATTAGTGGAAGAAAAAGACCCTCGTGCTTGAGGGAACTTCAGAAAGTCAGCTGCTTGCCATTGCCACCAGCTTCCCAGCTCCGGGTCAGCAAAACCACCAGCACAGCCCTCCCTGGCTCAAGGACTTACAGGCCCAGACCCACCAAAACAAAGAGCAAGACCTGGCTCTAGGGGGAACAGGATCTGGCCTCTCCATGACTCTTGACAGCTGAAATAGAGATTAAAGACCGGTGATGTGCCAACAGCAGAGATCTGGGTCTGGGATCACCGACATCAGCCCCACCACCCGCATGCCAAAATCCATCCCTTGGAAATGAGGGGGGAGCATGGAGGAGGGAAAAATGCATAAACTGGAATGTTCAACAGAAAAAAAATCATCATTTATCTAAAAAGAATAGAAATAAACAAAACGCTTTTAAACAAAATCACAAAATATACAAATAAATCTGGTACAAAATAAATAGGAAAGATTGAAAATCTACAACAAAATTGGAATAATTATAAAATTCATTCGTATGACAATCAGTATATGAAACGTATACACTTCATTCAGGATTTCATTTGTGCTTATTCAGGTTTATGTACACACATGGAAATACTGTAGTCAGAATACTACAACTCTGGAAACCCGAAGTCATGTACAATATGATACAATTCGCAAAGATCACGGACGATGGCAAATAAGACACAGGGAAGAGCTGGCTGGAGTGGCTGAGCGGGTTCAGACAGCCAGGAAAACGCACCGCGAAGGGCGAGCTGCCACGCTTCTGAGCGGGGGGAGGCCGAGGCAGCAGTGGCCGGGAGGAGGCTTGGGGCAGGTGGGAAGGACCCAACTGGAGGAGAAAGGTTTGGTGTGAGACCTCCAGCTGCCGAGCACCAGCTGCTCACGGCTGCCAGGAATGCTTCTCAAGGATTTGGGTTTTCAGGTTCTATGTGTTTGGCATCCGGGCGCCTGCCCCATGATGCGGGTATCGAGGTTGGCTCTGCAGCTCCACATGCTAGAGCAAGGACACGTCAAGAGCTCTGAGGTCCCTCAGCAGGGCCCGACCCCGAACC